TTGTTGTATTATTATTCAGCTTGTAATTCACTATAATTGTATCAATATTCAGGCTGTACACCACTGTGGTTGTATTCATATTCAAATTGTACACAACTGTGTTTGCATTCATATTCAGGTTGTAATTCATTATAATTGTATTCATATTCAGGCTGTATACCACTGGTTGTATTCATATTCAAATTGTACACAACTATGGTTGTTCATATTCAGGTTGTAGTCTGCTATGGTTGTATTCATATTCATGTTGTAGTCTGCTATGGTTGTATTCATATTCAGGTTGTAGTCTACTATGGTTGTATTCATATTCAGGCTGTAGTCTGCTATAGTTGTATTTATATTCAGGCTGTAAACTGCTATGGTTGTATTCATATTCAGGTTGTAGACTGCTATGGTTGTATTTATATTCAGGCTGTAAACTGCTATGGTTGTATTCATATTCAGGTTGTAGACTGCTATGGTTGTATTATATTCAGGCTGTAAACTGCTATGGTTGTATTCATATTCAGGTTGTAGTCTGCTATGGTTGTATTCATATTCAGATTGTAGTCTGCTATGGTTGTATTCATATTCAGGTTGTAGTCTGCTATGGTTGTATTCATATTCAGGCTGTAGTCTGCTATGGTTGTATTCATATTCAGATTGTAGTCTGCTATTGTTGTATTCATATTCAGGTTGTAGTCTGCTATGGTTGTATTCATATTCAGGTTGTAGTCTGCTATGGTTGTATTCATATTCAGGCTGTAGTCTGCTATGGTTGTATTCATATTCAGGCTGTAGTCTGCTATGGTTGCATTCATATGCAGATTGTAAACACTAAATATGACTCAGTAACTCATTGTTCTCTCAGAACAGCAGCATGTGATAACAATAGAATACTGTGGAATACTTTATTTTCGCTGAAAAGGCATTTCGGGTGTTTTGTATGGAATTTATTTTCACTGATTTTTGATGAGTTTAATGTGAAATATAGGAAAGAAAGTATATTCGCTGGATTTTATTTTCACGGAATCATCCCTTTAGCGAAAATAAATTCCAAGCAAAAATAAAGTATTCTACAGTATATGTTTCATTCTATTCTGAACAGGAAAATGTCTACCAGTATCGATCTTTAGAAATCCCCTCAGCTAATGGAATCGGTACAGCTCGGGGATTGGCCAAGTTGTATGCTATATTATCTAATGGAGGTGAATGGAACGGGAAAAGATTATTATCAAATAATTTAGTCAAGAAATTCAAAGAATGTAACGAAAAAAGTGAAGATAAAGTATTGTGTAAATTGAACAACTTTTGCCACGGGATGCATCCCCACTTTCTAATTACGGGTCTCCCGGTAAGTGTGAAACTATTAAAGGGGAACCGCTCAATCCCCATGGATTGCACCACGTGCTCATGGGTAATTAACTCCGCCTCTGTCCACTAAGTAAATGAATGCTTATTATGCTCGCTTACTCAAACTGTGATTGACAGGCATTTTGCATACATTAGCCGTCATTTTAAACTTTTTTTTACTTGTCGCGGCACGCTTCGACCGAAAACAACAAAAGCCCAACGAGATGAGTGTATTCGCTAGCCTACATAATCATGCCCCCGTAAAAATGTATTTGGAATCACAGCTTGAACTCTAAACAACATTTCCT